GCGAAGGTGCCCGGGGTCCTGCGCCCCTCGTCCTCCGCGGGGTCAGCATCCCCGGAGGGGCGGGCGGCCGGGCTGCTTCTCCTTCAGCTTTAATAAGCAAAGTGCGGCTGTTAAAAGGGCAAAACAAACGCAACGAAACAAAAGTAAGCGGAGACGTCGCCGGGCCGCGGCCCCCGGCAGGCGGCGAGCTGCCTGGGGAGGGGGTTTTAGAAAGCGCCTGGAGCTTCTTGGACTGGGTTTAGGCAAAAGTCTGAGCTGCTGCTCCGGTTTCTTTCCTCGCGGGCTGTCTCCGTGAGACCCCCTTGAGCCTCTCCTGCTTCCCCTCTACAGAAAAGGGGGGAAACTCTCTGCCCACGGGGCTCTGTGCCCAAACCAGCAGCTAGCCGGAGTCCACGGCTTCCGTGGGCCTGTTCCCCGCACCACCCCTGCCCGTGGGCCTCTGTGGGCCGTGCGGCCAGGCAGAGCTCAGGGAAACGTTCCTGGGGGAGTCCCCAGATGGTCCCCTGTCCCTCAAAGTCTGCCCCCCAGAGAAGCTGTTCTGGGGCTCAGGCAGGGCTCTGCAGTACGGGATTTTCAAACAGGGACGTCTGATCACCCGCTCTGCCGTTGTTTTCACTCCCCTGAATCCGGATTGCGCTGAGATTTCGTGACGGATAGTCCGCTGGGGAAATCGCAGTAGCCGCTTTCGAAAGCCGGCAAATCACAAGGTAGATAAGGGCTCGCATCTTCTGGCCACCCCACACTCCCCCCACAACCTCCCACCCCACCTTTACTATTGTCAGACAAAGGAGGGGGTCGAGGTGGGTTCTGCTCTGCAGATGCTCACAGAGGGACAAGCAACGCGGAGATCAGCCGGGGCCAAGGAGCTGCCCTGGCCTCCTGGAGTATCATTTCGCTGCGCCTGCCTTCCTCTGTCTTTCCTTAGATCAAATTAGGAATGACTGAGGAATCCCTTCTTTCCCGTTCTGTGGGACAGAGTTGCTTCTTGCGACAATATCGCCACTGGGTAGGGACGATATCCACCCAGCCCCTTCATTGGCTGCCGGCACTAAGGCTCGCATCAATCACAGGATGAGGGGGAAGGACAGGCAACGAGGGTCAACGTCGCCGAGCGCAGGGAGCCCTGCTGGGGGGCAAGCTGCCGGGGTGAAGGCATTTCACATGGACCCGCCGGTGCAGCTATCCCGTGAAACCAATGGAGATGCTTTTTGATGTGGAAAGAGGAGTGGTTTTCTATTGGGAAATGCTTAGAGAAAGGCTGAGTCAGCACGGTCGCTCCGAGTGGGATCCGGGCAATCTCGGCGCACGCTCTTACGGAAACAGACTGCTCTTTGCAAACTAACCGAGAGCCTGGCTAAAAATTGCCTCCCACCCCTCACCCGTTGTTTTAGTTTTTGGTTGGGTTTTTTTTTTCCTTATTTTCTTCCATGACAGTAGACACTTTCTTGTGACACAAATTCTTCACCTTCTTAGGAAAAAAAAAAAAAAAAATCCTCTAGTCGAGGAGATTGTTAGGTAGGAGCCTATAATCTATATTTTGTCAAGAGTATCAAATCCATTCCGAAAGAAAAGCTCGATCCATTTATTTTTGCTGCTTGAATAACACAGCTGGATGATGCCTTAAGCTTATGCTAGGCGGTTGCTCATCATTCATTCGCCAAGAACTGGCCTAAATGGTGCCTGTGGGATTAGGTCAATTTTAGTGGATCTACTTCGCCTCATTTGGTTACTAATTGGTTTCTTGTTTTATAAATCGAAATCTCATTTTCAGGAAATTACAAAACCCATGCAAGCAGTCCATCGAGGTAATCCGTGGGTCGGGCGTATTTAAATGGAAATGGTTCTACAATGCATCAAGTACTAAGCAACGGTAAAACTTCGCCTCTGTTTCCAAATGAAATGTGAGCTCACCCAGCTCCTTAGATCCATAATAGACACATCCCTTCTAAGGCTACTTATGTAAATATGATAAAGCAGACCATAGTGGGGGAGGGGACGCGGGGAAGAAAGCAATTTTTATCTACTAAGGTTAATGTGGAATATCTTGGAAATCTTCCAAAATAAATTCTATTTTGTTTTTTCTTCGGCCACTTTAGCTGGGAAAATCCTTTGCCTAAAAACGATTTAGTTATCCTTCCCCTCACAAAGCTGCTTGTTTCTGTTCCAAACCTATTATGCTGTTGGCTCTCCAAATTACAAGAGAATCTTTAGATCTTGTTTCCAAGCATAATCCTGAAGCAAAAGGGAGAGCTGATTTCCTTGTTTTGTTTTAAATAGACAATCAAAGGATTTGCAGAATTTTCTGCGGTAGGTCAAGTGCAAGAAATCACAGTTTGCCCTCTCAATAAAAGGAAATTGGATGTTAAAGCGAATAGATGGGGGGAAAAACTATAAGGGAATATTAATGGAGAGGTTTTCTCGTACAAGCTTTAAAATCAGTATTTAAAGGGCATCAAGAAAGCCCGTCGATCTGGGAGAGGCTGGGCTTGGCAAGGAATAGGTATAGTCTCCGATTTAAAAGTTCTGAAACATCTGGAAAGTGAAGAATAGTCTCATGTGATAGGGTTTCAAAAAGCCGGTTCGGGTAGACAAACGAAAACGTTTAATTATAAGCTATTAATAGACACAGCCCTGTTTCCACCTGAAGCATAGCTAGGAGTTCAGCGTCCCGTGAAGAACCGCCTTCTCAGGGCGGGGGAGTTAGCCTGTGCTGCCCGGGAGCTGTTCATTAACCCACCGGGCTCGGGTTATTTTCCCTTTTAGAAGAAGAATAATTAGAGCCGTAAACTTTGATTAATAAGCAACTTAAATCATAGGCGGGGAGCGCAGATTTAGTCCCCAGTACAGAAACCTGCCTTACAAACCTCCATCCAAGTGGGGGAACGTGGCAAAGAGCCTCGGCCACTTCTGCTCTAGCAGGCCGACCTGGCCCCAAATACACAGTGGGGTTTTCTCTCCTTCCCTGAAAGCTGTGCAAGATTTGCCAGTTTCTTGCTGATTTCTGACACTCCTGGGAATGGGAAGGTAGAGGTGCCAGAGGATACCAACCCCCCCCCCCCCCCCAGTGCATCCGCGGCTCCGCCAGCGCCGGAAGGTGCAGGGAGGAGTAAAGCCCGGGAACACAGGAAAAGAAGTCGCTGGGTCCCTGTTGATTGGCATGAAGGAATGACTGGGAAGGAGCCTGGTTTTGGCTGGCACCCTGGAACACGCTGGTGTTGCGGGATGGGGCCCAGGCCGGAGAGGTGACCCTACCTTTGTAGGGCTGTGAAGTTAAGGAGGAAGGAGGGGAGTGTAGAAGCGGTGAAGAGACAAGTTGGAGTGGGAAGAGGTGGACAAGAAAAGGAGAAGAAGAGAAGGAAAAGCGAGAGGAGAGGGGCGCATGGCTCTTGTGGTGGGGAGGGCTGCCCTGCTCCGACAGAACCGGGGAAATCGTTAGCTTTGTTGAAGTCGGCAAACACTGAGGTGAAGCCGGTCAATAGCGAGGGATGCCCGTGGCTGCCTGCTCTCGCTACCTTGCCTGTTTGCCTCGAAATAGCTGGAAAACGGAGTCTTGCCTTCCCCGAGGCCGCCCAGCAGGAGGGAGAAGCTGGCTGGGCTCTCGCCTCCCCCGGGCGATCACCACCCCAGCCATCAATCAGGATTTGTATGTTTTTTCCTCTTTTTTTTTAACTTTAGTTTAGTGTTTCTGTTTGTCAGGCTGAGCCTTAATTCATGGCATAAGCGTGAAAGGTTTTAACTGCATCGTTTGAACTATTTCAGCGATACCATTGTGAAAACGCATCGCCCATAAGTAGTTTTACTCTGGTGGAGTCATTTCCATCTGGCTTTTATTCCTCCCTACTTTGCATAAGAGAAAATGAGGGGCGTCTGAAACATTAGACGAGTCCGGAGAGATTTATTTCTGGAGGGGGCTGTTTGAAGGAAAATCATCCTTCCCTGCAGAGAGACCAGCGCAGCGGGTAGAGGGATGGAGGGAGGAAGGCGAATCCTGGAGTCTCGGCTTCGTGGGGCAGGAGGACAATGACTTTGCATGGGCGTCCGCGAAGTGCCTTACAGCAGCCGTGAAACTACTCTCGGCTCAGCGGCAGATAGTTTGCTTTTCGTGGGCTTGAGTAAGGATGACTCAAAAGTGTTTTAACACAGGGCTTGGGGAGAGCTGAATGAGTTGACTTTCTCCCTCCCCAAATATGTAATTACAAGTCTTCCAGGTGAGAGGACAGTGGCCCCGAAGAGAGAAAGAGGCAGGTCACAAACCAAACTGGAAAGTGATGTCTGGCGAGCAGGGGGTCTCAGCGCATCCTTAGCCCGCCCGGTCCATAACCTGCTGGGTAATTACCGGACAGGTTGCTGCTGAGCTCTGCCTGCTCCAGTGATTCCTCCCCCTGCGGTCTCCCCGGGTGCCGTAGGACCGGTCTCATGGCTGCCCTGCCCGCCATCGAATGCTTTCTCTTTCCAGACACCGTCGTGCTACATTAACAGCATCCTTGTCTCGAACGTCTTCTCCCCGCACAGCTCTCTTTAATTTTAAATAGTCCTCAGTGTTGTCCAGGAGGAAAGCTCTTCCCCTGAAGTGCAGGGAGCCGGTTCCAAGCAGCCGAAGGCTGCAGTAAAAGCCCTTTTATCTGGCACGTTGTTCCACTAAGGTCTCAGGAAAGAACTTCACCGTTAACTCAAAATAGACATTTTGGTATTTTTCTCTCACGAGAGTTAGGTCTTAAAAAAACAAAACAAACAAAAAAACCAAACCAAAACAAAACAAAAAACAAACAAACAAAACGAAACAAAACAAAAAAAAAACAAAACAAAACACAAAACCACACAAGAGACTTCTCTGTGCAACAGAATGATACCTAGTTTTCCAAAGATTACATGTGTGCATGTTTTGGAGGGAATACAAGCAAAAATTTGGGGGGAGGGAAGTTCCTCTCTAGCTGGCAAACAGTAGGCAATTTTTAATTTCCTTACCTTACCTTTTTTGTGCTTGTGTCTTAAATAAACAGGACTTGGAGAAGCCTGGGGCCACTCCAGCCGAACCAGCCCACTTGATAATGTTGGACGGGAACTGGGATCCCATCTTTTGCAGGTACTGGTCTGGAAACGACAGCCATGCGGTATTAATGGTTAAAGAAATCATTCCCTCTTCTGAGTTTTAATTGCCACCTTGACTAATTTTTAACTGTTCAGGTGTTTAATAGAAGGGGGAGGGGAAAGGGGGACGACACGGGAGGGGGACAATCTGAATGTCGTGCCTTTCTTTCAGTTGGGCTGTGGTTTGGTTCCTCCGGGTCCTTTGCCCCAGCAGCGTCCCACACAGTGTCTGTAGTGGGGGATTCCCAGAGTGTCCAGGTGTGCCAGGATACAGGAGCATGATGAATTTTCCCCACATGATTAACAAGGTGACAAGTCCTGACAATGTGCGGACAAGGTAGTGTAGAGACAGGGAAAGGCTCTAGAGACAGGCTGGGGGAGGCTGACCTGGACAGAAGGGCTCAGCCGGCACAGAAATGAGTATACGCACAAATCAGGTAGGACGCATCTGAAAACTTGCTGCCATCTGATGTACTAAGAAATATTAGAAGTGATCATCACCACGCATTTTTGGCAGGGTTGTGTGGCCTTTTGGGGTCCTATTCTGCCCTCGGCACACCCCCGTGACCCATCTATAGCCTCTGAAACGTGCCTGATACACTGTCTCTTCCCTTATTTACACCGTGAAGAATTTTGTATCCTCCTCGCTCTCTTAAAGTTTCCTTAGCAAACACCCGAGCGCTAAACCCTCAGTGACATTTGAAATGGGATAGAAGTATTCAGGATTTCTGGGACTGACATATCAATTATCGTGTAGCTGGGACCTGTTCTTAGATGTTTCCCAGGCACTCTGCATTACTTTTGAGCTCGACCTCTCTGAGAAGTGGGTTGTATCTCAGGACTCCCGGAGTTTTAGAGGGATACCTGGCCAGGACTTGCCCATTTCCTCTCGACGTTCTGAATCATCACAGCCTGAAAAGAGATGCTTATTTGCTAAAACAAATCAGAGGGAAAGGTACTTAATGGATTTTTCTGTCTTCGTGGGTGGGTCAATCTGTTGATATATTTATACTTCCCATTCCTCAACCCTGTTCTGCAGACGTTGGACGGTTTTATATTTGTCGTGGCTCCGGATGGCAAGATCATGTACATCTCGGAGACCGCCTCTGTGCACCTGGGCTTGTCGCAGGTACGCGGAGGGGGGGACGACACTAGACCCCTTACCTGCCTGTCGTTTGCCCCCATTCCCTGCTGCCAGGGGAGGTGCATGCGGGAAGCATGGTTGGTGCCGGCAATGAACGGCTTTCCCTCCTCCTCCTCTCTCACAGGTAGAGCTGACCGGCAATAGCATTTATGAGTACATCCACCCTGCCGACCACGACGAGATGACGGCGGTGCTCACGGCCCACCAGCCTTACCACTCGCACTTTGTGCAGGGTAAAGTAAACAGCCCTCCGCTCCGCGTGGCCTGCGCGGCCGCGGAAGAGCCCGCGCCTCACCCCGCCTCTGCCTTCCCCCCTCTCCCAGAGTACGAGATCGAGAGGTCCTTTTTCCTGAGGATGAAGTGCGTCCTGGCCAAGAGGAACGCGGGATTGACCTGCGGGGGCTACAAGGTTCGTGTCCACGGCCAGGAGCCTCCCCCCAGGCCTTCCTGGCCCCTGCTCCCGCAGCGCCGAGCACTTGGGGAGGTCGGTGGAAACAGGGACAGGCGTGGGGCGAGCCCTCTGCCCGTGGGGCTATCCCAGCCCGGTGCTCTTTCATGTGGTTCAGAGCCAGAATTTCTCTGAGAGTTCCAGGTTAAAGAACTCAAACCACAAACCTGAGCTCCCCGTGGGTCTTAATTTTGTTGTTGCTGTTTTATTTTGCTTTCTATACTGAACCTCGCACAACCACTGACGGTCTTGAGGTGTCTGCGGAGGCTGCCAGGTGGCAACATGGGAGTGCTGGGTTAATTTATCTCTTTACTGGGCAACTCGTCAGCTTCAGGGCCAGCTCTCCAGGTTAAGGGGTTTGTCCCGGTGGTTCTGCTTAGGGCTCCTGGGCGAGGACAGCCCCTGCTCTCCCACCTTCTCCCTTCTGTCGTGTCAGCTGCACGGTGTTGAAGAGTGGTGGGTACCTACAGACCACGGAGATGCTGTCCTGTGTTGTGCCGCAGAACAAGAACATCTGTTGAGCTTATTCTGGGAAGAAACATTCTAATAATAGAGGAGTAAGGGTAGAAATACACAGCAGTCATCTGCAAGGATACATTTAGGAGACATACCTAAATCTACGTCCAAAGATACATCCTGGCTAAGGATCACGTCTGCTCGATCTATATAATAAACATATCTTGCACATGTGACATAAGCACACATGTAAACTCTTTCTCTCACACGCATACACTCTTCATTACAAAGTTGTAACTGGCTTGGCACTTCCACGTCTTTCCTTTTTAGAATGACAACAAAAGCGTAGTTAGGAGGTGGTCCAAAAACCACTTAAGTCAGTGGAAAATAAAGAAAAAAAAACCCAACTCATTGACTTTAATGGGCCTTAGATAAGTGCTGAAATCTCGTATGGGAAAAAACCCAATCCCAACCGAAACAGAACAGAAGCAAGCTCGTAGACAGTGCCATTTTGCTGGAGCGGTGGCAGGGGCAGTGGCTCCAGGACACCCGGCGGCGGCATCGGCTACAGCCGGGGTGACGGGGGGATCCGTCCGGGTCCCCCCCGAGGAGGGGGAGGTGGGAGTGGGCGACGGCGGACTCCTGTCACAGCCCCTCCTGCCCTGCCAGGCAGCTCCTGAGCCTTCCTATGTCTCCGGCAGGTCATTCACTGCAGTGGGTACCTGAAGATCCGCCAGTACAGCCTGGACATGTCCCCCTTCGACGGCTGCTACCAAAACGTTGGCTTGGTTGCCGTGGGCCACTCGCTGCCGCCCAGCGCCGTGACGGAGATCAAGCTCCATAGCAATATGTTCATGTTTCGGGCCAGCCTAGACATGAAGCTCATATTCTTAGATTCCAGGTAGAGCTGGGGTTATTTCCAAGTCCATTCCCCTATCCCCTCCCTTCCTCTCCCCCAGGCCTCCTCTCATGTCCTCTCACCCACTGCTATCATCATTCACTCTTTGGTGTTATGTGCTGCCTGTCTCTTGCAGGGTAGCTGAGCTAACGGGTTACGAGCCCCAGGACTTGATAGAGAAGACCCTTTACCACCACGTCCATGGCTGTGACACCTTCCACCTGCGCTGCGCCCATCACTTGTGTAAGGAGATGATGATCTTGTAGACAATCTGCCCCTCACCCTCTCCCTCTGCAGATGGACTTCGGGCATGCTAGGGTTTACCTCTAGGTCGGAACGGGGAAAGCCAGCTTACTGAAGGGGAGGATAAGCAAAATCTGCAACAGGTTTTAATGAAACGAGTCGTTAGAGACTGAGCACTGAGCTGGAAGCAGGAGGGAGATGAAGGGGGTCAGCAATGAAAGGTTGTTTTTCCCTCCTCAGCTCCCGGTTGTAGGACAAGTCCCCTGCACAAACCTTAGGCTCTCTGCTCACTTCAAATTCCTGTTGGGAAAACCCGTTCTTTTTCTTGCTCCAAAAAGTCATGCCAGTGAAATTCAAATACTTTTGTTCCACTTCCATCAAATCTCACAAATCTTATCTGCGCATCTAATTTTGACTGCTATAGTGAGCCCGATTCGGAGAGCTGTTCTTTATTATATTTTGATATAATGATGACATTAATACATGGATAGATGAATAAGAAGGTATTAATTTCTGGTAAGTTTCCTTGCAGAGAAAGTAAGGAGAAGAGATAAAACCCAAAGCCAGATTCATAGAATTAAATCTCGATGATGAGATGTCTGTGTTGGGGGTGGCGGAGATCATTCACTCACACACCACCCCCTCACCCCCCCCTCGGTGTGCTCACAATGCCCCATCAGTCTCCCCGAACAGCCTCTGATCACGACTGGCCCGGCCTACAGGGAACGAGATCAGCCCTGCCCGGGGGGTCTTCACCACTGTTGCTCATGGGGAGGTCGGTCCACGCAGCTTCCCCATGTGATGCTAAGGGGATTCCCACCCCATCTGATCGCCCAGGAGGGTCTGGGGCTGGGGTGTGTCTGTACCCCCTTCCCAGGGCCGATGGAAACAGAGGAGCTGAGGCTCTTCCTTCTGTGTCCCCGCAGTGCTGGTGAAAGGGCAAGTGACCACCAAGTACTACCGCTTCTTGGCCAAGCACGGCGGCTGGGTGTGGGTGCAGAGCTACGCCACCATTGTGCACAACAGCCGCTCCTCCCGCCCTCACTGCATCGTCAGTGTCAACTACGTCCTCACGTAAGTCAGCCTGCGGGTCGCGGCAAGGTGCGCGGAGCAGCGAGAGGCCAAGCGGAGCCGAGCGCCGGCCACCTGCCTGTGCCCGGTCCCGGCGGCCGCAGCTGCCGCCGCCGCCGCCGCCCCCCTTTCTCCGTTCCCCTGTCACGGCTGCTGAGCCCCTGGCTGCAGCACTGACCAGGTCTGCTAGAAAACACGTTGAGCACTTTCATCTACATGAAGGGTTTCCCATCTGTCTGTTTCTTTCGGGGGGTGGGGGGTGGGGGGGAAGATTTAGAGGTTTGTCACCCACATATTTCGCTGCCTTCCCGCCTCCCTTTAATTTTCTTTCTTACAGTTTAAATGCACTCAGCATTACATAAAATTTAATGCAGCGTAAAAGAAAAAAGAAAAAGAAAAAGAAGTTTTCCACGGACGGAGTTATTTATACTCAACAAACAGGACATCTGTTTTTCTTTTCAAAAATCTGGGGTTTGAAGTTCTTAATTTCATCCAGAGTTTCTATCAAAGCTCCGAGATTTCCTTTTTGTTCTTGGAGAGCGATCCTTTTAGTGAACCACAAAGAAAGTTGGTGACCAGAAAGGTCAGTTAAACTTTTTAAAACATAAAATACAATTTTTTTAATTTTTTTTTTTTAATGAGAGTGATTGCTGAGATAGCGTGTATCCCAATGCATCTCCTTGTGTTCCTCTATTGGGAGATTGCTACGGTGTGCTTTAGCTGAAGTCAGGGGCCCAGTGAAGGACGGAAGTTCGTTCGAACTGTTTGCGTTTCCTTATGACTCGGCAGTAGCTGCAGGCAGCAGCACTGATGCTTCCTTGGGATCGTAGGGCTAGTCAGGGCGACGGTGCTTCGTTGGTCCTCGGGGTGAGTAGTCCTCTGCTCCGCTGTTTTTAAGTCTCCGGGCAAATGCAGATGTGGGAGATGTCTGTGAGGCACAACCCCCACCTCCCCTAAAACTGCGGGATGGCAGCATCACGATTTTACCGTGGCGGGCTTCATGCTTGCGCAGGTGGCAAGTGATTTGGAAGCCCAGTTCAGGACGTGCTTCCCAAGCTGAGGTGGCCCGGCTCTGGGCATGTGTGCAGGCGCAGCTGGTAGGGCAGGAAGAGGCCTGCATTGCTCGGACGTAATCACTTTGGTGCGTAGGGGCATCGTGCTCTCAGATGAATGGGCAAAGGTTATTGCGCCTGCATAAGGAAGCATGCGTTTGGGTTAGCACTCAGGTGTAGGGAGTAAACAGAGATTTCCCCTTTAAAGAAAATACCTTCAATTCACTTTAAAAAGGGATGCTGGGGGCGGCATCGTAACACTCCAGCATTCACCCAGCAAGTATGCAGATGGGCAGAGGAGAGGCATCATTACCTCTGCTTCAGCTATATGCCCATTTCCCCTGTACCAGCCCCTCTCTATTTTTCTCTGTTTATACTGCTCAGTGAAGCACAAAGCACTTGTCTTAGGTGAACGGGAAACTGCAAAGACAGAAGTCTGTGTAGGAAACAAGGAACCCAAAGGCAACTAGCACCTTAGAGGGGTTCTGTACAAGAAACACTACCTGCTTTTCTGTGAGCACCTGAGTTTATCGGTTGTTTCCCTCTGCTTTAATCCCAAAAGCGTTAACATCAATCACGGATCCCTACCTCAAATGACCCTAGTGGAAACGAAACATCCCATCGGATCTGTTTAAAGTCGGTCGGGAATCCAGCTCGATCTGTTCCCGGCCGTCACAGCAGGCAGGGAACACCCGTATCCCATGGGGCCGGACAGACAACCCCCCCCGGAGCTGTTTTCCAGCAGCGGGACGGCGGCACCCTGTGCGGCCCTACCCCGTCCCTGCCCGCGTATCAGTGCGCGGCCGTCACTGCGACACCCCAGCTGGGGTGGCTGCCAGTGATCCATTCTCCCCCCGCAGTCATACATAGCTCAGGTGCGCCGCGCTCCACACCCCGGAGGGATTTAATCCCCGCAGACTGGGAGGTGGCCCCGGGATGGGGGGGTGTCTCCCCCCCTCCCGCGTAGAACGGCACAGGAGCCGTACCACAGCAGAGCGATTCCTCCGTCTCCGTGGCTTTTTCGCTGGAGGCAGCATCTTTGTATTTTGGTGCATATGTATGGATTTTAAGAAGCAGGTTAATTTAAACCTGGTTTCAGCCAGGCAGACACGTAGGAGGATTGTAGTTGTTCTTTCAAGATTTCCCCTGGAGAATGTAGTTACACTGCGGCACGCTTTCATTACATCTCGGTGTAAGGCTCCCCTTGCGCTCTTCGAGTAATTGCCTCGAGTGAGAAGGATGGCAGGAGAGCAGGGAGGGAGCCAGGCTGGCTAAACATGAGGATACTAAAGGCTGAGAGGTCCATCACTGGCTGCAGCAACTGTCATGTGCTGCCGGCTGCTGCAATGCAGGGACCACTACCGCATTCAAGTCGAGTTTTGGGACATTCAGGTCCTCGGTGTCTCATCAAGCCTGCCCGGCTCTTCATCAGAGTGTTGCAGAAGAAGAAATAGAGTCCTGCTTGCTTCTGCTGCTGCTGAAGTCACTGCCCTGGGTTTAGGGGATGGATGGAGAGTCAACTATATTGTTCTTATTCCTGTTATTATTATTCTGGCCTGTCATTTGTAAAAACGAATGAGAAGCAGAGAAAGGGCTAACTTTTAAAAAAGTGAGAAGCCACCAATTTCAGAGGTGGATTATCTGGGGCAGAGGAGAGCTGCTGGGGAAGGTGGGAGAGTCAGGCGGGGGGGGGGGGGGGGGGGGGGGATGCTGAACTTCATTTATTGTCTTAATGAGCTATTCAGAGTTAGAACTCAAATGTGGAAGGTAGGTGGTGAAAATGCAGGGGAAAATGAGAAGTTATGGGGACTTGCTGTTTTCCTCTGGTATGAGGTAGACTCCACTTCAGGAGGGCTGTATAAAGGCCTTGTAGTGCTCGAAATTTACAGATGTTAAATATACTTTATTCTGGTATAACTTCTATAGCTCCTGCAGTTCCTTAAGGATGACACTGGATTATTCCAGTAAGCTAGGAACAGCTGAAATATATGTGTGTGCTGTGGGTTCCCTCCAATCTTCTGCTCAGCACCTGGAGCAGATGCAGCTCGTGACAGAGGCCTGGCTTTGCCTGCTGCATCCCAGTGTAAACCTGGGGAGGAAAAAGATGCTCATGAAGGAGAAAGGCAAACCTTTGCACATCAACTTTGGGGTATGGAAGTTGAGGAGAAAGAGGGGCAAACAAGTGCTCAGGATTGTAGGGTTAGAGCTTGAGAGGCGGTAAGCCTGCTGCCAAAGATTCCTTTGGAAATAGGAAATGTTGGTCCCTCCTGCTAAAAATAGCAAAAGCGTTGGAAGATTTGACCTGCTGAGTCCCTGCTCCCCTCACATAGTACTTCTTCACTCAGGGAAAGCCCCATGAGTTTTTTTGTTTTGTTTGCTTGTGGGCTGAGGAACTTTTTGCTCACTATTGAGAGGAACCCGAGTGCTTTGATGTTTTGTAAAGGAGCAGGCACTGAGTGGTGCAAGTGCCAAACTGCTAAGTAGGTATGGTGGCAAGGGCATTTGAGAAACAAGAGGAAAGGTTATTTTTTTTTTATAATAGCAGTGTGTCAAAAATTAATATAAATGACCTTTAAGGACTCCATCTGTAAAGTGCACATATTTGATCTTCTTTGTATTCTGCTTGGCATATGTGAGTACAGACAAAGAATATTTTTCCCTTTCTTATTTGTTCTGTACACACAGTTGCATTATCATTGATTATTAGCTGTGCATGTTTACCACTGAGGGAGACTCAAGTATGAGTCAATTGATAGAGAATGCAACTGTTGAAGTTTATATTTAGATTGCAAACAACCTCCCTTTAAACAAATGGATAATGCACAGTGCAAATCCTTTGACTTTTTGAGCATGAGCAAATATTGCAATAATTTGTCCCCAGAGAAAGCTAAGGAAGATATTCTATATGTATTTCCTTTTCCTTTAGCATTTAAAAGAATAGCAATAATGGTAATGCACCTGGATAACAGGGATTAGTTACCTAATTGTAACTAATCTCTGTTCTGGTGACACAGTACGTATATGATGTAGTTCCAGTTACCTCTTCACATTGCATTATGTAACTGGCTGATTAGAAGCATAAATTGAGTGCAGTTTGAAAGATTATTTCAAATAACTGCCATATTGACAAATGTTTTACTTAATGATGTGGTAAATGAAATTTAGAATAAATTAACTGTTAATTGTATCTGCACACTTAATATTTAAATTATTATTACTATTTATATAACTTTGTGTATGACCAGATTTAAAATGACTGTATAAGCAGTGTGGTTTCATTACGTATGATGTCTCAGACCCTTAAAGACAGTCTTCCCTGGCGTATTAAGTGGCCTTTAGGGAAATCTGTCCTTCAGGTGGAAAAAAATCTCTCCCCATATTTTTGGATAGTTACAATGAAGTATTTTCATAGCTGTTCATAGAAATCCTCATTTTGGTCTATCTCTGGGACATGAGGTCAGAGTCAATGGAGAAAACACAAATTATATTTCCACACCTACAGGCCTATCTTTCTAAAGTGTTTCTCTCAAATTGGCCATTTGGAATTGCCAGAGTCCTCTCCTCAGTCACATGTAGATACATGGTCTCTTGTACCTCTGAAGTGTGTGATGGAGTGTGTAGGATAGTGAATACACTGTGAAAGTTATTACTTGCAGAAATAATCTTGCTCTTATATTATGAGTGGAACTAGTTGTATGAGTAAGCTTAGCCACCTCACTTTATACTCAAGGAAAGGCTTAGAGACTTAAACTGGATAATGTATTTTTTATTAAGTAGTTGTAAACAGTACAATTAAATTTTACCTTCTGTTTTTCCTTTATAGTTCTCTGTATTAATGGGAATTTTGCCACTTACTGAATTGTGCACAGAACTGGGTTTCAATTTATCTGTGCAATTTGCAGTGTACTTTTCCGAAGACTGGAAAGCATATTTCACGTGATTGAATCACCA